AAAGAATTTATCAAAAGATAATTTATTACTAAATAAAAACAAATCTGGTTCAAAAACATCTTTATCTGAAAATGTTCAAACACCATCATCTTCTTCAGAGCTGCAAGCGCCACATAATTTAAATAATAGCATCAAATCAGATCCACTTCAACCATCATCATCAGGTCTATCAAAAATGATAAATGAATCAAAACTATCATTACAACAAAGTCAAATTAAAACAACAACAACTACAGCAAGCATTAATAGCACATGTCACTCTTCTGATCATTCATCAAAAATCGTTTACCCACATATCCATGTAGCTGCCATTGACAATGGATTGGCATTCCCATTTAAACATCCTGATCAATGGCGTTCCTACCCGTACGGTTGGTCATTTCTTTCAGAGTCTCTTGTAGGGGCTCCCTTCACTGAAAACACTCGTAAACATTTTCTTTCACTACTGACTGATAGCAAATGGTGGAAGGATACAATAAGTGAATTACATCAATTTTTTTCTTTGGATGCTGATTTTGATGATGGGATGTTTTCTAAACAGGTAGCAGTACTAAAAGGTCAAGGTTATAATATTGTGGAAATACTTAAACAACCTGATAAAAGTCCTTTGGATCTTTGCGCATCTCAGAATCTAATGGTATGGGATATGATCGAGTCTATTGAAGTTCCAGAAGAACCTGATAATATGGAAGGTGACAATGACAACCACCAGTCAGATAATATCAAGATTGACAATGGTGGTAGAAATTCATTACAAAATGTTGATTATGGTGAGGCATCTGGTATAGGTGGATCAGTTGGAACCAAGTATCCAAATCTACCTCCAAGAAGGAGTGTTTCGGAATATAGTTCTCCACGACCTTCATTGTCTGTTAGTGCACCAGCTGCTTCAGTACTTTCTGGTGATTCTGCAAGAAAAAATACATGGGTTGACAGATTTAATCGTGTAAAAAATAAATTTGCTTTTGATACAATTGGAAAAAATAGAGATACTGAAGAAAAAAGAACAAAACTTGTTGTCAGTGAAAAGATAGAGCCGGTAAAAGGAGGAACACCATTTTTTTAAATGTTGTTAGTTATATTCTTAATTATTAATTAACAAAAAACAATTATATATATAATTAATTCCCTTGCATTAATTATAGTTTTAAAACAAAAAAAAAGTATTTTTTATTCTTGTATTATAAATTTTAAATTTTTCTTTTTTTCTTTTCAACATAATCGTTTGGATAGCTTATTTTGTACAATTTTTTGAAGATCAAATAATTTTTATCAAAAAATTTTTTATTGCAATTATCAAAAATACAAAAATAAAATAAAAAATTACAAAATTACAAAATTATGAATAGGTTTAAAAGTTGTCGGTTATTTTCCACAGTTAATCTTTTAAAAAATAACAATCTTACTCATCAACCATTAAAGCGTAAACTAGTAGTGCTA